GTTGTTCTGGTACTCATCAACATTCCTCTGTATCAAGGACTTTTCTTTAGGGAGGATAAAGGGAAAATACCCAAAAATGTAACAATCAAATCTGTTGTCCTGGCTCTCTCTGTTTGTTCCTGTTTTACATTCATGTATTAAAGCTCAACTGGATATAACTTTGATGCTTTGATTTTCTTTTCTTATGTAGTTTTGGTTTCATATATTTTGAGAAAATAATAATGGAGATTATAAGAATAGAATCCAATATTTTACAGTTTAAACTGTATCTCACTGCAAAGACACATTTTCAATGTGAGTATAAAAGGAAAGTCAAATATAGAAAGAAATCCAGTTTTTCCATCTTAACCAGAGCGGAAGAGCCACGTGTGATTGTCCTGTAAACATGAAACGGGTGTATAATAGCCTCTTAAGTCCTAAGACAGCAGAAAACCCTCCAAGGGTCAGAACTACTCTGAAAATTCTAGGTTCTCTTCCTGCCTGCTCATAACTGACCGGTGGCGAAGCTTCTTATTGGATTCTTTCGGAACTCTGAACAAATCCCAAAGGCAAAGTTTTCACCTTTCATTTTTTTTTTTTTTTTCATTTTCTTGTCAAATTCTAATGGTTTTCATTATAGATTTTCCTTTCCTTTTACCACCTTTTGTATTTTCTTTTTGCTTTTGCTTGATTTTAATTCTGTTTTCACTGTTTATTGCTGGCATTCTAACTTTTCATTCTTTTCTTGCACTTTCTTATCTTATTTTCCTGAGTGGAAATGGTTTTTTTTTTTTAATATATTTTTTGGCAAACTAGTTTCTGGGTTTTTAAGGGTTCATTTTTTGATGAATGTCTCTAAGTGAAAGTTTAAATCTTTTGCTTCTGAAATCCACATTGGATGAATATTGTAATTCAAATGGAAAAAAGGTCACACCTTTAGTTAAGTAATGAATTAATGTTGTGTTTTCCATTCTGTTATTGTGTTTATGCTACCATGTCCAATTCCATGACATGGCTGATGATGTCCTTATAATTTATAGATGAAAATGGGGTCGGCTGCAGTTGTCCTTGCCTTGATTCTGGCACTTCTGCCTAATGTGAAACCTGTGTTGGCAATTAGAATATTTATGCAAAGTGAAGAGTGTCTCTCCTATGATGTTAAATACATAGGGGATACACTTCTGGTGTCCTTTGTTGTTGTTAAGTATGAATCCAGTTGGCAAAAAGATCAGCAGGTTGTTGATCTTGTGGTAAGCTTCTCTTTTCTTACTAATACTCTGCAATTGCAATCAGTTTTCACAATCTAGGCATGTCTAGGAAGTTCTTTTCAAGGTGTTTTTGTTGCATTGAGTTTGCTCTCTTTTATGCGATTTGCCAGGTTAAGGGACCTTCCGGGGAGCAGATTATTGATTTTCGCGACAGAGTAAGTGAGAAATTTGAGTTTGTGAGTCATGAAAAAGGACTCCACCGTTTCTGCTTCTTCAATAAATCTCCTTACTATGAAACCATCGATTTTGAAGTGCAAGAAAACCATTTTACAGTCTATGATGAGCATGCAAAAGATGGTAAGTCATGCACCTCTAATCTAATTAACCTGCTGAATTTTTCATAAAATAGCAGACTAACTGCTATTTTTTGTGTTCACCTGCAGAGCATTTCAACCCTTTGTTAGAACAAATATCCAAGTTAGAATCTGCTATTCATAACATCCATTTTGAACAACATTGGCTCATTGTGGAGAATGAACGTCAGAGAATAGGTATCTGTTGGAACTGTTGAAATCTGTTAGTTCTACCTTAGAGCTCTTGGCATGGCTGACCATCATCTCATAACTGTAAACAAAGAAACTTTGTTTTTAAGAAGTCTATTATTTTTTGACTAGCTTTTCAATCTGTGAACTGAGAGTTTGCCTTTTGAATGTTTAAAGCGATAATCTGTGCATTGTAATTACTGAAATACATCGAGACCTTGACGTGAATGATTTTCATGAGCTTTGCATAATCGTTTCTGTGCATTACTTGCACCATTGGCTTAATATCTAACATATGAAGCTTTGCACCAATCATTTTTTAATCTGATTGTTTTCGTTTGATGAAAATGCAGTAACTCAAGCAATGAGTAAGAGGGCAGTTCACAAGGCATTTTTTGAATCTGCAGCACTCATAGGAGCTTGCATTCTACAAGTTTACCTTCTTCGGCGCCTGTTTAACCGAAAGCTAAGAATGTCTCGAGTTTAGCTTAGCATTGCCATTGAAGTTCATCTTATAGATTTTTGCGGACTCATTATGGGCTTCTAATATACATTAATAGAAACCACAAATCAAGTTATATTTGGTCTTTTCTCTGGTATAACTTTTAGATCAGCAATGCATATAGGTCTAGATCAATAAAATGCGTCAATAATTTTCCAGAAATGTCATAGAAGTAATGGTTGTTGGTTAATCTCCTGAAAGTACCCATTTTTTGGACCTGAGTATGGCAGTTAGAACCAGTAAATATTGGTGCTTTCCCCAAGAAATATTAGGGAAAAGAAAAAGAGAAATAGAACTTGTTAACAAACAAGCCAATCACTGATATAACAGCAAACAGTATGTCACACACAAAAGCTCTACAGCGTATAGCAAAGAAGCATCAATGACAAGAAGTAATAACTCAGATTCTAATAACAACCCCACCAAAACAGTACATATAGATACATTAAGTATTTGTCTTGTCTTTTTGCTTTCTTCCCACCGCAATTAAATTTTACACAAAAAAGGGACAAATTCTAGCAGGGACCCTGTAGATTCTATCTTGTTGAGGAACATATGGTGGGCATCAAACATGTTTTTTTGTGGAAGCTCTTAAGGACACAGGACTTGATCAAGATTCTGCAGGTGGGGCTTGAATGCAGCAAAGCCATCTTTTCTGAAAATCATTACCATATCAGGAAAGATATCTATACCACCATAAATTGGTAAAGGGAAGATACCCATTGGATGCTTAAGATATGCATGCAGATGCCAAAACTAGGGAGATTATGCCAAAACTAGGGAGATTATCAGAGAACTTACAGGCTGAGGTTTGCCCTGATCCACTCCATGTCCCTGCTTACCATCAGGATCAGCTTTTGCTGGTGACTCAGGTTTGCCACCTGTCTTCTTCTCATCCCTAGCCTTGTTAAAAATTACAGTAAATCCCTCAGCTGATGCAGGATCATTAACATCCCAGTCACCAAATTTTGGCAATGGCCGACCCTTGTCCTGCAAGAGAAAAAGTAAAAGGCTCCACTTAAGATCCTGATTACTACAATAGGCAGAGAACAGAAACAATCATGTTTAAAGACAAATTGATGATCATCAAACATGGACTGTGCTATACTAGTCAATGCAGTTCCAGTATACTTAAAAATTATAAATCAAACAAACTATTGAACCAACAATAAAAGAAAATCATTTGCATTCTCTCAGAATATCAGATAAAACTGGACAAAATGGTAAAATGATCTATGGTGCAGAACATTCTATTATTGAGATTAAAAAGCAAGAAGTTACAACAGTCAAACATGTATATCCTATTAGAAACTTGGAATCACATATTACAGCTATGTGAGGTCAAGGTAACATGATTATATCATGTCAGAGGCTCATCAAGTCTTAGCTTAACATAATAACACTCATCACTACAGTTGGTATCAGCTGATCCTAACTCCAAGTAAACATACATAAATTTTAACTTCAAATCTCACAATTGACGGTCTGCAACCAAGGGGAAGCAAGGAAAAATTTGAAGCAAGTACCCTAGTCAAGTATTACCTACCATGATATCATGTGGTTATCTCTGTAGTTCAAGGCATCACATACCCTAAAATAGATTGAACCAAACCAGGATAACCATTCTATTTTCAACTGTCTCCCTCTTCATTAGGCTACTAGCAGAGTGAAACTCATCTCCTATTCAGTTTAATTTCTTTGAGACAATCCACAGTTACTAAACTATGAAACTTATCTGTAACTCAGTTTGTATTTCCAATAAGAGTTTAACCAAGTGAACTCATCTCCGAAAATTAGAAAAAGAATGAATGAGATGTACCATTATATTTATACAGATCCTTAGAGGAACATTCTCCTACTCTGGTACCACTTGCAACTGATAATGAGTAACGATTACTTCTCTTTATTCATTTGGACTTAAGCTACATCAGTTTAAGTTCTCAACTACAAGCAGAATTGACATCTTTTTGAATATTGGGAAGGAAATGATTTTAGTTATGCTAACATGAGGCTAGATTAGCTACTTATTATGGGAGGGAAAAGGGCAAGGATATACGGACAACTTTTCTGTACAACTTTTCTTTACAACTTCCACGTGTCATTGAATGAATTGATGCATACAAAATCATGGGTCCCAATAGAGTGAAAAAAGCCAATCATTAAATAGCATGTAAGGTCGTATGAAAGAGTTGTATAAAATAATTTGTCTCTCAATCATTTTCTAGAGGGTAAAAGGCAAGTTCTAAGTCTTTTATGGTTATCATTTTATTAAGGTTATAACAGCTGGATAAAAGGAACATTAAAAATTCTCCATCAACCTTCTTTCAAGAAATAAAATTTTGCTTTTCAGATATAGAAACAATAAAGATAAGTATAGCTAATAAAAGACGACTAGTAGTTGACTTGTAGGAATTAAGACACTGGCAGTTCATCACTTAACAAAAAGAAAGACAATCTAAGACCACAAAAGTAACTTTGACTACCATTCTATTTAGTAAAGCTACCTCAAAGAAATCCAAAGATATACAATAAATAACTAAAATAAGAAAACCATCTATATGATTGAAAAATCTCAATCAGGATGTCAGGTAGGCAGAACAGAAAAGGCATAACTCTGCTTGTATAGCAAAAATACATCAATCCTAAAACGAAGGGAGAATCTTAAAAACTGCATTTCAAACTAAACATAAAATGAGCATTAAAGGAGGATTCAATGACCACAAGACAACAAAATAGAACACATAAATACAGAAACACACCAAGAAAATTGAAAGGTTGATATTCTGGGGAGATATAGTGAAAAGCTAAGCTTACCGCAAAACAAGATAGATAAGAAGGAATCTGCCAAATATCGAACTTGAAGTAACATGAACTAGATAACAAGATTGCAACTTTGCAAGCCAGTCTTTACCCATTAGGATTATTGAATCACAGAAGAAAAAGTATAATAACTATGTCTTGCTATATAGAGCCATAAAGAACTCCAGATAACTTATGGATGTCTAGGACTTTATCACATTCAAAATTTCCATATAGAAAATAAATTATATAACTTTCTTTGTTCCATGAAAACCAAGATTCCCAAAGCATGCCAAAATACCCTTCAGTCAATTAACAGCACTTCCATTTCAATATGCCATGGAACCACTAATTATGCTACTTCACCTTTAAAAAGAAAAACAAAATTTGCAATAAATTATAGTATTGAATAGAGATTATATTGGAAATTCCATCCAAAAAGAAACATCAAAATGAGTTAAAATTACAACCCATTAAATTTTAATCTGCCACCCCGAAATACCCACCAAAATCACAAAAGAAGCCAAGAACCAGCTTCCTTCAGAATCATCAAATAAAACCACACAAAAAACATAAAGAAACGGTAAAAAGGAAAATCATAAATACAAAAGATGCCCAGAATTCTTGAAAGGAAAGAGAAAATGAATTGATCATCTCCAACCTTGACATTTAATTAAAAAAGAAAATCCACTACAAATACAAAATGAACACTAGAACAGATCAATAACACATATGCATCAAATAAGCCAAAGCTCAAACAAAATCAAATCAAGCAAAACCCAGAACAATTTTCATGAATAAAGAACGGAAGTGATTACATACCGTCATGAATTCTACAAAGATGGAAACTTTTCCTCTGGGAAAGGGAGGAAAATAAGGAGAGAGAGAGGGGAAAAGAGAGCAGAATGCTTTCTGGAGAGAGAGAGTGAAATGATAATTTTTGGAGGAGAAAATGTGAACGCAGAGAAAATTCATTGCCGAACGGCGTCATTAGTGACGGTAACGGAAAGGTCAACGTGACGTGGCACAGGTAACAGAACGGAAAGATGAGCTGGCAAACGGCGTGATTTGGGGGCAAAGATGACAAGCCCTTTGCTGGCACTGTTTTTTCAACTTTGGAACTTATAATAATATTAATTAATTAATTAATTAAGACAAGTATAGACAAGCTGTTCCACAACTGTTCTGGTATGCATTCAGGTTTTTCTTCATCCATTCTCTCCCAAGTCCACAATGTTGTCCCATTTCAAAAGAAAAAAAAAATCA